TTAAATTAAAAAATATTTTTAAATATAAAATTTTGCAAATTACTCAAAAACGATGTTACTACAACATTCATTGTATGTTTTTTTTTTTCCCCTCTTTGTATGCTCGATCAACAACTGAAGTGCCATTTGTGGAAGATTTTTTTTTTCAACACTAGCTCGACTCGTGGGACTTATGTGAAGGTCTCAATGTTGCCCATGGTGTAAAAGGTTTGGAGACCTCTGATATACACTATAAATGGAAGGCTATAGTCAGTGGGTCACGGATTTCAACCAAAATTTTATTGGTGATAAAATACTACAACGAAAAATATCCGACACATATCCCGGCGTTCATCCCTATGGACCCTAGAAGCTGAGAAAAAATATATTATATATAATTTTAAACGAAATGTATGTTAGTTATTTTTGCCGTTGCCTTTCCTATATTCTTAAGTTTTTTATACATCCAACGATTTCTTTTTTTGTGCAGAATAAGAAAAAAGTACTGACTATTGTATTAAATGAGTTATCATGAATCAAAAATCAAAAAACCCAAAAGGCGCTTCCAGTAAAGTAGGCTAAATAAATTTTGTTACGAAAAAGCAAATTAATTCGTTTTTAGGATTCTTTGAAATTCTTAAGAATGAATTTTTATATAATCATTTCAAACAAAACTTATATAACTTATTTTTGCTTTCGCTTTGTCCAAATTTTTAGGTTATTACATATCAATTGATTTCTTTCCTTTTTTTTTTGTTCTGAGAAAAAAAAAAATTATTGTGTTAAATGAATTATAATGTATCATAAATTATAAAAGCCAAATTATATTTTCCACAGTCTATCCCTCCTGATATAAGACACGTACAATCAGTTTTTTCTTTCAAACCTCTCCTTTTTAAACACTTACTCCTTTCCCAATCAGATAGATAATGAATGTGCCTAAGAGAACTCTTTAAGTACTTCCTTCCAGAGACTATTTCGGTTTACTTATGCCATTTTAGTTTCCTAAGTTTGTTATATATATATATATATATATATATGGTACATTTTTTTTTCTCTATCTCTTTCCCTCTCTGTATTTTTATTTAGCTAATATTTTGCAAATATTTAATTTATTTACCGCCACACTGGCATTTACTCAGTATTACTAGAACAACAGTCCCACAATAACAAAAAAATATTTTCATTTCATTCCATTTAACTACCATTCGACTAGAATTCTGGCCTTATCATCGAGGTGAATTCTTTTTTAAGGGACACATTCTTTACATCATATCTAAGTTTCAGCCGTCAGTTCTTCCGTTAAAAGAAACGTCAAATTCCGCCAATTCAATTTAAATTTTCGTAAAAAAAAACAAAAAACAACGGTTTTCAACTGACTTACCGAAGTTGAGTCTTTAGATGAGGTTTATCTACAATTTAAAATGGTTAATAGCTGTACGTTCTTCAGTCAAATGAAATGGTCGGTAGCTACTAGTCTAGGACATTCATGTCTTTTATTTTTATGTGGTACACAAACACATCATAAACTGACAATTCTTTGTAAATAAATCGATAAACGTTAAGGAAATAACAAACAAATCAACGAAATAAACCAAGTTACAGTCTTCCGAGAAAGACGTTCAGCCATATTCTGAGACGGCATTTGGACTAGGGAGGTTGAGAGCAAATCGGCTTTCAATTTCCTGAGTGAAGAGTAATATCGATTCGTTGACTGACAGTCGATAATTTTCTCTTGGAATTATTTCCTTTTCGAAGGGAAGGGTCATTATTATTTTCGCTGTCAAAATGGAGTATTCAGGGTTATTTTCATCTGACACTAAAAACTCACTGAATCATTACTGCTGGTAATCGATAGGTGAAAAAAATGTATTAATTAATAATTAATTGGATTCAATGTATAATAATAACCTGTAAGCGATATATAAAAAATAAAATTAATAAGATAATTATATTTGGAAAACTACATTCTGTCAGCGTTGTAAGCTAATTATGATTACATTGGTTGCTCAAAATAACAAAGATACGATATAAAAATAAAAAAAATACACTATGAAAATATCGAAATTCAGAGATATTATGAAATCATGAATTAAATTGTAGTAATAAATCAAGTTTCGGTTAGTTTGTTAACTATGGTTTATTATTTTCAATAATGAATCATTGTAATTGCCCAAAATGTCCAAAAACTTAAACCGCCCTCAAAATATGAAGTTTTACGTTTCAGGAAATGTAGAAATTGATGGTCGAATAAAAAAAAAATTTAGTAGTGGTATGATGGTGGGCTGTAGTGTAGAAGAGAAGTTGGTTGGGAAGTTCGGTCAAAAATATACAAATTACAAAAATAATAAATGGTATTTATTTTCATATTAGCCGGTGGTTCGACCCAAAGCCCAGGCCTTTATCAGGGCTAAGAAAAGACCACATAACAATATGAGAAACTATTAACTTATGAAAAAAAATTTTTTTAATAATAATGTAAGGAACAAATGAAAAAAAAAATATTAACAGTAAACAAGAGGAACTAATAACAGTAATAGAGAGAAAATTATGAAATAAATAAAAAGACAACAAAGTTGGGATCTGAGGAAATAAACTTGTTTAAATAAACTAAGATGGGAACTAATGAAATAAGCATAATAAAATTTGGTAACAAAAATGAAAATAAAATGTAAGTGTTAGATATAGAATGAATGATGTAACGTAGTTGCTAAAATATGATGTCTTATAATGTAAAACAAGTGAGATAGACAATGAATAAAATATTAAATGAAAGAAAAAATTATCCGTCCGCCGTCAGAGCATTTTTTCCGAGACTACTGGCCTCATTTTTTTTTTTTTTTTCACATTTGGAATCACTGTCAGAGTACTAAATACCCCAACATTACCATCCACACTTTCCTTTCCCTTCAACAAATGTACCAATTAAAATGAAACTTACTTCTTGATGTTTTTTTAAATATTCTTATAGAACATACTTCACTGAAAAGTACTTACTTTTCAAGATGGCGGACGAAATATCTGCGTAATATAGACTGTAGCGCCTGAACGGATGTTATATGAAACTTCGAACTGATATTAATGAAACTTCGTTAAAGTATTCTCCTCGATGCCCTTTAATTTTTTGAACTATGGCACAACTTCAAACACTTATAAAAGAGATTGAAAACGGTCAGTAAGAAAACTATTATATTAACAACATTGTTTTTTATTTATTTATTTGTGTTCGCCGCCACCCTAGAGAGCCATTGGCGGTAATTCTTAATTTTTATATTATGTTGTAATAATTTGTTTCGATTAAATATAGGAAGAGAATAGCGACATCTTCCTCCGTGTCTCCTTAAATATCCTCCAGTTTCATGGACATTTAATTGTCTGTAATAATATACAAAATTATTATATCATAGTTAGCACTCAATATATAGAAATAAATGTTTTAAGAGGATGTGAACAAATTATCAAATGTAACACGAAACTGAAAATTCGCGGTCTTCTCTACGTTTATAGTAATAATACTTTATTTATTCTGGGACGAGTCCCTTTAGAATAATACAAAAATGTGGGATAAGGATCATCAGGGATACATAAATAATAATTAAAAAGTAAATATATAGTCATAATAAAAAATTATCAGTCAGCTTCTTACTTCAATCGATTAATAAAAAATAAAATAAAATATAAGTGAAAATAATTAAGAATGATCTAATAATTTATATACATATTTGGAGTAATATCTATTTACAATTTATAAAAACCGTATTTTAGATTAAAAAAAAGAATTGTAAATATAAATCATAATAAAAACATAAGATCAATATAGTTAGTAATTATTCATGCGCATGATAAATAAAAATAAACTAACAGGAAAGGGGAGAAGCATGTAAGAGAGACGCCGAGGAAAGGAATATAAGGCAGAAAGGTAGGATTTCTGCAGAAATACCTTCTTGTCAGTGGATTTTCGGACAATAAGCTTTTCTCGCTTTCGACTGTACAGAAAGCTTTTTACTCCTGTCAGGTTCTTCCGAGAAGAAACTCGCAGGTTTCAGTAAATCGTGTCCCTTATCCTTGGCGAAACTTATTTCATTTATTACAGCCCATTAAACCTATTTTACTAAGATAACATGATTATAAAATATACATTAATTCAAATCTCAAGCGGATCTGGTTGAATAATATATATATATATATATATATATATCAACAGATTTTTTTTTAATAAAAATTTTCGTAAACCTATGACTCCCTGTCCTACAGCATCCTTTAATAACAACCCACTCATACCTGTTGAACAAATACGATATCTTGGACTCCACCTGGACAAACGCCTCACGTCGAATCCTCATACAAGACTGAAAAGACAAGAAACTGCTCGACGTTTCCGCCTACTCCAACACTTACTAGACAAAAGCTCTAAACTTTCAATTAATTAAAAAAGAGTAATATACATGACTATACTAAGACCTATTTGGATTTACGGAGTTAAGCTATGGTGCTCCACCAAACCATCGAATTCCTCTCTTATCAAATCCTTACAATCCAAAAGCCTTCGTAAAATCCTCAATGCTCCTTAATTTGTCACAAATAAAATAATCCATAATGACCTTAATGTTCCCAATTTGGCCCAATCCATACACCTATCCTTCCATAATAAACTTCATAACCATCCGAATCCCCTCGTTTCTAACCTTGCTTCCTCTTCGATTCCTGATAACCCTCAGAGGCATCTGAAAAGAAGATGGCGTCGTGATCTCCTTATGTAGACATATTATTAGAGTGCTACCTGTGGGTAGTTTCTCATCAAACGTTTTTAAAAGATTATATTCTTGTGTCCACATTTGCTTGATGTATTTATATTGTATATACAGTTGCAAATATCTTAAATAAATAGCTAAAAAAAAAATTCTAACAGTAGACATTTTCGACATTTAATAAACGGAAGTTTGTTTTGTATGATACGAATTTATATTATATACAGTTGATAACTTTTACAAGAACTTCCTTACTTATTATGAGTTGAAAGAATGCTTCGCTTCTTACAGCAAATGAATTCGGTAAGTAGCCACCTCTCAGTTGCTGGCCAGTTTATCCAAGTTAGTGTTGTTAACAAAGTTGGTAAAGTCATTCCTGAAGTTGGTGCAATACAATAGTACTTTAAGTTAGAGAACTCAGTCTATGTTTAGTTTACTACTTTTCTAATTACGATAATAAACAACCTTGACCTCCTAGTTGCAAGCAGACGTACATTAGACGTGTGCAGGTTTTTTTCTGACCAGTATTTTTTTACACTATACATAAAATATGATTATGTTAAAAAAAAAAAAAAACCAAACAATTCACACAAAAAAGTGAACTAAAGTAACATTCATTTTTGCATTTTTATTTCATTTTCAAATATTATTCTAATCCTCAACTTCGGTTAAGAGAGAGGCGTAGGGATCTCCTGGAGTACTCCTTCGGTGGAGGGACAAACGGGAGTTTTGAGATTTTTTGCCTGATTGTGAAACAGTATATTAACATATTTCTATGTTGTTGTGATTAAATTATCTTTAAGTTTATTTTATTTGTATTTATTGCAATACTTTTCGATTTTTATTTATATTTTCTGTAAATATGAGTTGAATGTACTCTTTCTTCACTATAACCGTTATCCATGTTGTGACAGAATGTTATATTACTCAATATAATAAAATTATTAAAACATTCAAACATGCAACTTACCCTAGCTTCAGTCGACAATGATGACTACCGCAACCTAAAATATAAAAACAAAACAATTAAATTTTTATCAGATAGAATTCTATTTTTTTTTTTAAATTGCCAATATAAAAATTATCATTATATAAGTAAGCAAAGGTAAAAAAAAGTTCAATCCCTTTTTCTTCTCAGTTTCTCGACCAATTTTCTTTTATTTTGTTTAGTAGTAGCTATTGATGAGCTTTAATGATATTTCTTTTTTTTTCTTTTTTTCTCTTTATTTAGACATGTAATATTCTGTCTCGAGGACAATAATTATAATGATAATTGAACACATTCACACCATATATATACAAAAAAAATAAAAAATGATATTAATAAAAATATTTTGGCAAAGGTGAATATAAATAAAAATGTAAATGTTAGCGCCAGTAAGCCAGTAAATCACAATAATACCTATTCATCCCTCTTTTCTCAATCTGCCGGAGTTCCTCAAGGTAGTATCCTAGGTCCTATACTCTATACAGTTTATGCAGCTGACATCCCTACCTATTCCAACACTGCCATCACCACATATGCCGATGACACACGTATCCTATCAGTAAATAATGATCCATCAATTGCATCTCAAATGCTTCAAACACACATCATACATCTTGAAGAATGGTGTCAAAACTGGAGAATTAAAATAAACTCCAATAAATCCCATCAAATTACCTTTACCCTTCGTCGTAAACCAACGACTGCCTGTCCTACAGTTTCCTTTAACAATACTCCACTTACCCCTGTAGAACAAATCCGATACCTAGGACTCCAGCTAGACAAACGTCTCACTCGGAATCCTCATACAAGACTGAAACGACAAGAAACTGCTCGACGTTTCCGCTTACTCCAACACTTACTGGACAAACGCTCTAAACTTCCAATGAATTACAAACGACTCATATACATGACTATAATAAGAGCTATTTGGACTTATGGAGTTGAGCTATGGGGCTCCACTAAACCATCGAATTTCTCTCGCATCCAATCGTTACAATCCAAAATCCTTCGTAAAATCCTCAATGCTCCTTACTTTGTCACTAATAAAATAATCCATAATGACCTTAATGTTCCCAATTTGGCCCAATCCAGATACCTATCCTTCCATAATAAACTTCAGAATCATCCCAACCCTCTCGTTTCTAACCTTGCTTCCTCTTCGATTCCTGATAACCCTCCGAGGCGTCTGAAAAGAAGATGGCCCCGTGATCTCCTAATGTAGTCATATCATTAGAGTGCTACCATTGGGTAGTTACTCAGCAAGTGTATTCATGTCATTATATCTATTATATCCAAATTTACTAGATGTATTTATTTAATACAGTTGTAAATGTCATTAAGAAATAAAAAAAAATGTTAGCGTTTGATTTTTTGATACAACGTTACAATCATACTCAGTTGTTGTTTTTTTTTGTATACATTCATTTACCGTTCAGTCTTTCGTTCAGTGTAAGTACAATGGTGAAATAAAACAATTTGAACCGAGCGAAGGAGCGAAGTGGATTCAAATATTTTTTAAGGAGAATCCACATTGAGATTGGTATTTCGGATAAGGAAAACTACTAAAAACGAACTTTCATAGTAATCAGAAGATAAAATTTCCCTCATCGGCTCAAATTTCCACCGCATGAGCAAAGTAAGTTCATATATTTAAAAAAAAAAATAACGATTTTTAAAAGTATATAAATGAGTAGAGCAGCCACACTAGAGACACTAGTGTGATAATTAGAAAAGAAAGTCTGCTGTGCGCATCACATGAGTTTTACTTACTACCCTCTTCTTAGTAAAAATAAACATTTTCAGACAAAGGGGAAGTGAAAATAAAAATTATAGACGCTACATATATTTATATTTCATTGTGGGTATTTTCATTCGTTTAATTACACTTATATATACAAATTTAAGGTGAGTGAAAGTAAAAAAATAATGATAAGTTATTATAATTACTCCTTATAATCTATTTTTATAACTATAAATCTAGTTATAAATAAAATGCGGCCTCTAAGCATGAGTCAGCTCAAAAAAGTGGACTAATAGAGGAGAGAGAGGCAATTTTTTTCAATTGATTTCTCTCATGTAGAGAATGTTCTTTTGTGAGATTATTTTCTATCGAAATGTTTAGATACTAACTAACAACCTGTTGATGTCAATAATTTTTCAGAGCTATGATGTTTATCTTTGCTGCTCTTTTATTTTTAATTTATTCTGCGTATAAAGGGAGGAAGGAGGGAAGCTACCCTATCTTGCCCTTCCCTCGCTAAGCCCTTGCTTCCTTGCTTAATAATGAAGTCAGATTGCTGAAATATATAATCAAGAAGGAAAAACGTAAATAAAATAAAATACACATTTCACAAATGGGGAGACAATAGATAGGTTATGGACAGACTGAATACATATAAGACAAATATTAAATATGAATCAAATTCAATAAATTTATGTATTTTAACAATATTACATGTAAGGTTAGTATGAGTTGGTCTCTAAAGGGCGAGGAAAGGAATATTGAATAGGAGCCATACAATGGCTAAGACCTTTCCTTAAATTTCTCCCAGCCAGGAGCAGACACAACACACGATACATAATACATCTCATACTCCCCCACCCATTCACTTATAGCGCTTCAGTTTCCATGGAAAATGCTCTGAGTGTTCAGAATGGAAATTGATTTCTCCTTCAACAACTCATGAAAGAAGACGTTTCACGGATATTTGATTTCTCAACGTCTTTATGCAAAGATTGACATTTCGAGATAAAAATAAAATATATTTTTGATTGAATGGAAAATCAGAAAAGTAGACGCCCGCGGCGTAATTATAGCATCAGTCTAATGGCACGAGAAATATACAAGTTGTTTTAGTTCTTAATGGCCGAACTCTAAAGAATGATTCTAGACAAATTTTCTTCAAGATAATGAAATTTTAAGAACACTATCGTAAATTAGACAAAATATTTATGAGTAAACAAATGAGGCTTTGTTAATTATTTGGCAGTTTTCAACTCTTCAGCACTCATTATCCTTAATTTCCCGACAAGGGATGCCACTATCAGGAAATCACTTCAGGAAAGAAATGAAGCTATGTTGAAAACTTTATACCACAAATACACAACACCTTTATTCCTCCACATAAAAATGACACTACCAGGAACAAAGGACTACTACTGTCTGAGTAACCTCACACAAGCCAACCTACCTTTGTTTACATCAGCTACAGTGCTGCCTGATAACATGCATGAGCTCTACACAGTGATTTAATTTACTAAATGATAAAAGGGATTTTAAGCAGTCTATTATGGCCGCTTTAGTTAAGTACCCATACACGAGCAGTATATCCCTGTACAGTGGCCATATTAAGCCTCCTGAAAGTCTCTTTTATCATCGACCTTAGTAAATTTAACCAATGTTTTCTCAAAAATATTTTGTCTACTTTTATTTTTTTATTTATTTTTTAAACTTTTATTATGATATTAACAACTGTATTAGTATGCATACATCAAGTAAATGTGTACAGAGGAATATTATCACATGAAACACGCTTGTTGAGAAACTACCCATTGGTAGCACTCTAATAATTTGTCTACATGAGAAGATCACGAGGCCATCTTCTTTTCAGACGCCTCGAAGGGTTATCAGGAATCGAAGAGGAAGCAAGGTTAAAAACAAGAGGGTTCGGATGGTTATGAAGTTTATTATGGAAGGATAGGTATCTGGATTTGGCCAAATCGGAAACATATGGAACATTGAGGTCTTTATGGATTATTTTATTTGTGACAAAGTAAGGAGCTTTGAGGATTTTACGAAGGATTTCGGACTATAAGGATAGGATACGAGAGGAATTTGATGGTCTAGTGGAGCCCCATAGCTCAACTCCGTAAGTCCAAATAGGTCTTATTATAGTCATGTATATGAGCCGTTTGTAATTCATTGGAAGTTTAGAGCGCTTGTCCAGTAAGTGTTGGAGTAAGCGGAAACGTCGAGCAGTTTCTTGTCGTTTCAGTCTTGTATGAGGATTCCAAGTGAGACGTTTGTCCAGCTGGAGTCCTAGGTATCGGATTTGTTCTATAGGGATAAGTGGGGTGTTATTAAAGGATACTATAAGAAAGCAAGTCATTGGTTTAAGACGAAGGGTAAAAGTGATTTGATGGGATTTATTGGAATTATTTTAATTCTCCAGTTTTGACACCATTCTTCAAGGTTTGTGATGTGTGATTGAAGAGTTTGGGATGCAATTGTTGGATCATTATTAACTGACAGGATACATGTGTCATCAGCATACGTTGTGATGACAGTGTTAGGATGGGTTGGGATATCAGCTGTATAAACTGTGTTAAGGATAGGACCAAGGATACTACCTCCTATCAGTAAGATAGGAAATGGTGATAAGAAAATATGTAGGGGGAAGGAATTTACGGAGTTTGTAAAGCAATCCCGGATGCCAGACTCGATCAAACTTGTCTACTTTACGATGGTGTACTTATAATTTTATTATCTTGAACCGTTTTTGAGCAATCCCCCTCCTCTCCCAACGCAATCCTCTCCAGAGTTTGACCTGAGACACCTTGCATACAAACACCATTTTTTTTACAAAAATTTACTTTTGATCAACATTTCTTCCACAAATTCATAACAGTCTCTTTCTGAGATAATTTTCTTTCTGTTGGAAATTCAATTCAAAAGATCCGGAGATTAAACTTCAGATAAAGGCATATGTAAACATAAGAATCAATTTGTAGGAAAACTAATCGATTTACAGAGCCCTTTTACTATTCCATTCAGCAAACACATTCCCCTGAGGGTTGGTGCCGAGGTAATCGAGTTGCTGGCGTGATTGCCTGTAAATGAGTTGTCACCACAGGCTCAGCTCCCACACCTGTTAATTCCCCCTGTCGTGTTCCCCGCTAACATAGGCTTTCTAGTATACCACGGTTCATGCATTCATCAGGAGGGCTGAGGCGCTGTTCCTCAACGCATTTAATGCCTAGAGGAAACGTCAAGGTGTGGGGTACGGAATAATTACA